TTCTCTGACTTATTTTGCTTAGCATAATACATTCTAGTTCCACTCACATTGTTGCAAATGAAAAAATTTCATTCTCTTTGATATCTGAGCAGTATTCCATTGTGTGTGTGTGTGTGTGTGTGTGTGTGTGTGTGTGTGTGTGTATACCATTGTGTATATACACACACACACCACACCTTCTTTATCCATTCATCAGTCAATATAAATTTGGGCTCTTTCCATAATTTGGCTATTGTTGATAATGCTGCTAGAATCATTGGGGTGCATGTGCCCCTTCGAATCAGCATTTTTGTATCCTTTGGATAAACAGCTAGTAGTGAAGAATCAGGCCACCTGAATGTGCTGAGTTGCAGTTCCATAGTGCAACCACTGTCTGGACAAAGTAACTGCTGCCACCTTTAATTTTTTAAATGTTTATTTATTTTTGAGAGTGAGAGAGACAGAATGCAAGCAGGGGAGTGGCAGAGAGAGGAGACACAGAATGTGAAGCAGGCTCCAGGCTTTGAGATGTAAGCACAGAGCCCAACTCGGAACTCAAACTCCTGAACCATGAGATCATGACTGAGCCGAAGTTGGATGCTCAACCGACTCAGCCACCCAGGTCCCCCACTGCTGCCACCTTTAGAAAGGGCTTTCGCTAGCAGTTCACCACTAAGACCTGCCCTCCAGCTTTATTCATTTATTTCATCTGCCTGCCCCTGTCACCATTTGAATTTACTTCCTCTGGCCTCTGTGCTCTATTCTTAGGTTGTCATGCACCCATTCAAAGTTTTGGAATTGCAGATGAGCAAGCGTGGCTTCATCATGGAAGTGGGACAGTATATTTTTGTTAATTGTCCTTCAATCTCTTACTTGGAATGGCATCCCTTTACTCTGACCTCTGCTCCAGAGGAAGACTTCTTCTCCATTCATATCAGAGTAGTGGGAGACTGGACAGAAAATCTCATAAGGGCTTTTGAGCAACAACATTCACCAATTCCCAGGTAGGTCCCCAAGAGCAGCGGAAACCCAGAGCAAGACACAGACAGGCAGAAAAGAGAAAGCAATTCCTTGTTGAACCTTAAGTCTGGTAAGATAGAATATGATTAAAATAAATAGGCACTAAATGAGCAATGGGAACAGCTATGTCTCTGAGAGGATGTTTGAGGTTGGGGGTGGAAGTGAGATTTCACTTGCCCATTGTCTTCTGTCTTCTGTCAGGATTGAGGTGGATGGTCCCTTTGGCACTGTCAGTGAAGATGTTTTCCAGTATGAAGTGGCTGTGTTGGTCGGAGCAGGAATTGGGGTCATCCCCTTTGCTTCCATCTTAAAATCTATCTGGTACAAGTTTCGGCACGCAGATCACAACCTTAAAACACAAACGGTAACTCCCTCATACCACTTTGCATCTGGACTGGGCTGGACAGGTCCATTGCTTTCATGGGTTAAACTCTTTACAATTGATAAGAGAGTAACCATCCCTGGAGCTATGAGAGTGAGTGATCACTTCTGTCTGCCAAGGCATCCACTTTTACAGATTCATCACAAGAATAGAGTCTTCATTTTCAATTTGGAATTTAAAATCACCTTGAACCAAAGATGATGTTGGAAGTCTTTTTCCTTAAGGGATGTTGTAAGAACTCTGAACATTCATGCTTTCTAAAGTCTGCTGCTCTGAAGAAGTGATTTTTCAGGTCACTCTTAGATTTGATCAACAAATACAGAGTATATGCTCATAATCATGTCACCACAATGTACATCATGAAGGCACTTAGTAAGGCTATGTTCTCTCTTGCTAATTCCAGATCTATTTCTTCTGGATCTGTAGGGAGACAGGTGCCTTTGCCTGGTTCAGTGACCTATTGGCTTCTCTGGAACATGAGATGGAAGAATTAGGCAAAGTGGATTTTCTAAACTACCGTCTCTTTCTCACCGGATGGGACACCAACATCGTGAGTTCAAACAATACACTAATTCCCAAGTTAGATGCAAGATAAATGTTAGACAAGGTCATGAATGCTGATTGGAAATAATGATTTCTTATGATTTCTTATCCGCCCTCACCCTCACCCCTGAGTTTAGAAGTGGCCAAAACAAAACAAAACAAAAACAAAACAAAATAAAAGTGGCTAAAGGAAGAAACAGCTATCAGGACCTGCTTTTTCTAACTTTTATTTCTTTGGCTCCAGGCTGGTCATGCCGCATTAAACTTTGACAAGGCCACTGACATCCTGACAGGTCTGAAACAGAAAACCTCATTTGGGAGACCCATGTGGGACAATGAGTTTTCTACAATAGCTAATGCCCACCCCAAGTAAGTGCATTTTCCTCTAGTTGAGTTTACAGAGTTAGAGTTTAGGAAAGATATTACAGCATGTTGAGCATTTTTGGGAAAAAGATCTCTGGGGAAGAAACTATTTGAATCATTCTCAGATTCTTGCTTAAAACTGAAAAAATTGCATCTGGGGTTTTAGCCAAATAAGGGTTGTGACCTTGTAATTGATAAGAAGACGTTTGGTTCCCCTGCAAGTCCCCATTCAAACAAGGCAAGGAGACTCAGTTCCGATTAGTATTATGGAATAAAATGGAAAACTGGAAAAATTCAAATGCATTATTTTTGGGCTTAATAATCCCTACATCAAGTAAGAAAAGTTTAGAGTGTATTGTCTAGTTAATTGATGACCTGACATTGTCGGTCTTTCTGGAAGAGTTTTGAGACATGCTAGAGCACATAGGAAAACCTGGTGCCATGAAATCAGCCATTCTAATGGGAAAGAAATTAAGCTGATCATTTAGATAAATTCCTGGAACAAGTTGGCAACTAAGGATCAATTCAATTTCACAAACATTACTGGTTACCTTCTATAAGTTCAGCACTCATTATTCTAGAAGGTTTGGAGGTTGAAAGAGAAATAGGATATGGTTCTTGCCCTCAAGGAGCATACATTTTAATAAGAGATGCATGCAATCAACCCAAAGCAGAATGATGCACTCCATGAAACAGGTACATAGATATCGAGGGAAGGAAAGTGTATGCCAACATAGGGTGATCACAGCAGGCTTCATGAAGGCAGTGGTGAGAATACTTAGTCACTCCGATTCAGATGATCCTGGGTCCTAATGTTAGTTCTGATACTTTCCATTCCTGGGACCTTGAGCTAGAAAATCCTCTAACCTTCAGACTTCTTATCTATAAAATGGGGGTTATATGAGTAAGTGCCTTCTCTTCTCACTTGCAGAATTATTATAAACATTAAACATATACCTATATGAAAAATGCTCTGTAAACAGGAAAGCAGCATTTAAACAAAAGAGATTATGTTAATTACTGTGTTGAGCTGACCATAGTTGAAGTTGTGAGAATGGATGACATTGCCAGGAGAGAGTGGTGGAGGACAATAGCATTAAGCAATGCTTACATCGTGTGGGAATGGAGAAAGATAAGCCGAGAAGAAGTAGGAGAACATGGAGAAGTGGTGTCACAAAAACCAAGGGAGGAAATATTAAAGAATTGGAGGTGTGGCAGGGTCCAGGAAATGCTTATTTAACTTAAAGATTATCTAAGCATGTTTATAGACAGAACAGAAACCAGTACATAGAATAAAATAAATATACAAAAATGGGGATGGGACGCGTAGGTGGCTCAGTTGGTTAAGTGTCCAATTCTTGATTTCGGCTCAGGTCATGATCTCATGGTTTGTGGGATTGAATCCCGCATTGGGTTCTGTGCTGACAG